CCATACGCGTATATTTATAAATGCATTTAAATTTTCTTAGAAAAAAATAGTTTAAATTGTTCAGAAAATTGTGAAATACAAAAGCACAGACGAAAAGCTGAAAAATAAATCTATTAACCAAAATTTTACAAAACATGATTTGCAAGAAATGAATGAGTACACTAACAAATTAATGAATATTCTATTTATATATGTGAATGGCGATGATTCACACAAAGATGTTAATAATTTATGAAATAGGACGATAATAGCGTGATAACAACAATAAATATTTTGCTAAATAAAATTAGTTTTTAAAAACTAAAAAAAAATAAAGTAATAAAGTGCATAAGTACAACGTGCTATTTGTCAATGTTTCTAAATAGCTAAATTATTGCGTGTGGAAACAAATGAATAATTTTTTTTTCATTTATATTGATATTCATGGCTGTGAACAATTGGTACGAGTCATGTTTGATATGTTGTCCACGTAATTATTAATGTTTTTTTTATAAAAAAGCAAGTTTTAGTAATTTATATCGCAGCTTATCTCATTTAAATTCTAAAGTGGGGTCTAGACTCTCAGTTAGTTTGCACAAACTGGTATCACACAGCCACTCCTAGATTTTTTTCAAATAATAAAGATCTACTGACGCAAAATCATAAAAATTAAAATATCTAGGAAAATCTTTCTCTGAGGGGTAGGCAACCTTAATGATATTTTGAAGATATATAAATTCCCCATTAAACACCGGAAAATACACTGGGTGTTCCATTTAAAATAAAGGAGTAACTTCCTTTAATATTAATTTTGTCTCACCCTGTGCATAACTTTTCGGGTCAAATTGCAATTTGATTTAACATACAATGGTTACTGTAATTAAATATCAGGCTATAACAAGGTCAACTAAAATTTAGGTAGCTATTATCGAAATTTAAAATTTACTCTTCATTTTCACACAATGTGAAATATGTGAAAATCCTTAGATTTTACGTATATGCTTCTTTAATAAAACTCACCTTTATTTTTTTCCTAGAATCCGAAAATCAATTAATATACAGGGTGTTCCATTAGAAAAAACAATGTATAATTCTATATATTTTTATAAAATGCTTTCAGTTAACCTACATATGCTGCCAACATTTCATTTCTATATAAACTACCGTTCTCCTTGAAGCTTCCGCGGCCTGTATTTAATTATTTGAGTAAATTTACTGAGAATTTTAATTTATTATAGATCTCATGCAGTGACTTTTACATATACAGGGTTGTTCACCACATACGACACGGAGTATTGTAGCTAAACGATGAGATTTTTACATATTGTAAGTTTTGGGTTCGATGAACGACTATTAGAGGTACAATTTAAAAATAATTTTACAAGATATATTGTCCCAAATAAGTAAAAAATATCAAAGTTGTATTTTTTTAAACGGAACACCCTGTATATTACTACATTTTTAGTTTCTACGATTAAAATAAAGGTAAATTTGATTAAGGTTTATTATACTTAAACCTTACCGTTTTTGAAATATTTTCAATTTTGTGAAATTGTAGTAAAAATTTTAAGGCTTCATTTCTCCAAGGGTATCAAAGTTTTTAATACTAAATATTTACTGAAGTTTATTTACTGATCAGTTATTGTGTTGCAATAATAAACATAATACTACCTTATACAGAGTGTCTAAAAATTTATTTTAAATAATTATTAGCTTCAAACGGCAATAACTTGTTTAATTTAAATGGAACACCCTGTATATTTTACGAGAATCAGATGCACAATTTAATTGTCTATTAAATTATATTATACTATTTTTTACCTATTTCTTTAAGTTTCCGTAGAAAATGCATTTTCTTGTAATTTAGAACTTATTTATCAATATACCCATGGACTATTGACATTTTAGGTTATTTTTAAAGATGTACCAAATTTTTAAAGAGTACAGATACTAATATTGTCGATATAATTCGTTTATTTCATTAAAAAATTAAAAAAAATCTGTTTAAATATTTGTTAAAGAGGACCAATTAATATGATTCCAGTATTCAAACTACGTTAACTGACTGCTTGCGTTGATTAATAATTGCTCCAAATACTAAAAAACTGAATTTTTTATGGGCATTAGACAGTGTGATAAAAAGTAACACCTTAAAAATGATATTTCATTTTTTAATAAATGCTTATTTATAACAACAGAGACTTTAATTTGATAACTTATTATTATATTGATTTCTGACTCAAATCCACATTTATTTATAATAATTAATTAACGAACACAATTAAGTATGTAATTAATTAGTATATGGGCGGAAATAATGGTGTTATATTTAATTAATGGTATACTCTTTTATAAAGATTTAAGTAGTTTTCTTTTTGCATACAAATGGGCTAGTAATATTATCGTTTTGCTAAAAACGATAATATTATAGTCTAGTAGTTAAAAACAATCTAAAATGTCAATATTCCATAGATATATTGATAAATGAGGTCTAAATTATAAGAAAATGCATTTTCTACGAAAACTTGAAGGGATAGGTAAAAAATGGTATAATACAATTTGATAGACAATTTAATTTTGCATCTTATTCTCCTAAAATATACAGGGCATTCCATTTAAATTAAAGAAGTTATTGCCGTTTGAAGCTAATAATTATTTAAAATAAATTTTTAGACACTCTGTATAAGGTAGTATTATTTTTATTATTGCAACACAATAACTGATCAATAAATAAACTTCATTAAATATTTAGTATTATAAACATTGATACCCTTGGAGAAATGAAGCTTTAAAATTTTTACTGCAATTTCACAAAATTGAAAATATTTCAAAAACGGTAAGGTTGAAGTATAATAAACCTTAATCAAATTTACCTTTATTTTAATCGTAGAAACTAAAAATGTAATAATATACAGGGTGTTCTATTTAAAAAAATACAACTTTGATATTTTTTATTTATTTGGGACACTCTGTATCTTGTAAAAATATTTTTAAATTGTAGCTCTAATAGTCCTTCAACGAACGCCAAACTTACAATTTGTAAAAATCTGATCGTTTAGCTACAATACTCCGTGTCGTATTTGGTGAACAACCCTGTATACTACAACTTTCTTATATCTCTGATAATTAGAAAGTTATTGGCGAATGAAGTATTTTGATGACAGACGGATGGACTAAAACCTTGTTTTTTGGATTCCTGGGGTCAAAACTTTGAGAAAAGTGAAGTGTTGACTGTTGAAAAGTGTTGAAAGTTGCTGACTGGGAAAATAAAAACCGAAAATCTTCACTGCCTCCTGGACTAATACTATATCTATTTTTAGCAAACCTAATTAAAAAGGTTTTCTCCGATGATGCAATAGATCCTTAACATTCTTTATATAGTAATTATAAAACTATTTGTACATACTATACGCATTTATAAAATGCATACGCATTTATAAAATGCATAGAATGATTGGAACCTTTAATCACAAATATGGTACAGCTTCACTCTTACGGCTGTTCACTTTAAGAAAAATGTCGATATACAGGAAGTCTTAAATAACTGGAAATATTTTTAGGAGTGGTATACAGGGTGTCTCAGGCTGAGCGTGCATTAGAAGTTTCTAGAGAACTAAAATACCTAGATCGGAGATTTTTTGCTCATCATGGTTTACAACCAGATCTATCGATTAAAAATATTTTCAATATGACGGCACTTCCGGAAATACCGGAAGTTAACAGCAAGTTTCTTATTTTAAATAGGTACCTACATTTTTCTACACAAAGGTGCCCGGTGGCGTAGAGGTACAGGTTCTCGTCTACCAATCTGAAGGTAGAGGGTTCGATTCCCACACCCGGCATTTCATCAGCCGACTATTTTTATTAAAATAAAAATAGTTTGGGTACCTAGGTCGACTCAGCCTTAAATGAGTACTTGGGCACAAATTAACTACAACAGATGCGAAGGAACACCGAATTACGCGTTCAGGTTTCTGTGACCTTCAGAAAGAGTTCATAGACAATCCGCATCAATGTATAGTTTGGGTGAAAATAATCTGCACCAATATGTTATCGAGGCATACAAAAAGGTCCACAGACTTCGAGGCATACGAAAAATCAAGTCCATTTAGCGTGTGTCGCAATTTTCACACCTTAAAAAATTAGTTTTTTATAGCTATAGCAACTGCAGCGACTATGAAAAATGCTGTGTGATTTTCATAGAAAATAAGGGCACCTGTAATTCATTTGAGAATGTTATAAATCGCTAAAAGAGGTTTCAAATCTCTTGGATTTCTATTAATGTTAAATAAATTTTATTAAAAATTGAACTAAAATTGTTAGTATCATTAAAAACAATTCAAATTCAAAAATTCAGTCATTCCCTCATTTAAGGTGAATATTAAAGTAAATATAAATACAGCTCATTCTAAGCTCTATTTATCGTTAAGAAAAATTTAAATCATTGTTGCAATTGGGCCTTAATGCCATTTCGAATGAACAATAGTATTAATAATGTACATTATAATAATAATAAATTTTATATCATAGTGTGTATTAAAACTACTAAAACACTTTTGGTATTATATTAACAACTTTTGTTTTTTAATCCAAAAAAAAGTTACCAATTTTCTTAATCAAAATATTTGTGGTCCTGAAAAGGACCTTCGTTTTCCCATGTTCGTCAAGGTAGGTAATTGGTAAACGGTAAAAATACAGGATAATGAAATTTAAAAAATTACAAAAATTGTTCAAAAGTGCCTCCCTCTTGCATTAAACAATAACCAAAACGATCATAAAATCCCCTCCTCACATTGGATAACATATCAGGGGTGACAGTGTCAAAGGCATTAAATATTTTCTGCCTTAACTGCTCCAAGTTTTGAATTTCTTCATGGCCGTAAATTTTAGATTTTATGTACCCCCATAAAAAGAAATCATTAAAAAATGATAGATTTTATTATAAATTTAACATTAAACAATATTACGTTGATAAATTTGGAAAGAGCAATTGAAATAACATTTATTTATATCTTTTTCAGTTTTATGAAAATGAACAGCAAAATCACTAGTCTTTTTAGCTGCGTAGTGATAGTATTAGGTAAGTTATATAGATGTTTATTAAAGATAATCATTTTATTGTTAATGTTGTCATTCTTTTTCAGTTAGGAAATGTATCTGTGATAGTAGTTTACTAGTGAACACTCACGATGTAACAATAAAACTAAAAGATGTAGCAGTTGTCAGTATAATAACTGGGTAAGTCAGATTCTTGTATATCACAGTGATCATCAAGACGTATTTTTTTTTATTATTTTTGACATATCAAAAAACACACATTGGACAATACATTTTAAAATATCAAAGTAAGTAGTAGTCCAAAATGGTATTTTTACAAAATGTCTTAAGACGGCAATAATAATTCCTCTGCATAAAGGAGGAGACAAAAATGAAGCTTCTAACTATCGCCCAATTGAGCGCAATTGCACTCCTTCCAACGCTATCTAAGATCATAGAAAGGTTGGTTAAAGGTAGGCTGGTATCTTTTCTGTTTAAGTACAAAATACTTACTGAATATCAATTTGGATTTCTAAGCAACAAGTCCACAAATGACGCTATGTTTTCCCTCCTTAATAAAGTTTACTCCAGCCTAAATAACCATCATTCTACAGCAACAATTTTCTGTGATTTTTCTAAGGCGTTCGACTGTGTAAATGCATCCTAATTAATAAACTGCAGCACTATGGGTTCAGGGGAACATCTCTCGAATGGTTTAAGTCGTATCTGAGCAATAGAAGTCAACTTGTGAGGGTGGATACCACGTTGTCTTCTAGCAAGCCAATAGAATGTGGAATACCACAAGGCTCAGTACTAGGCCCCATTTTGTTTCTTCTTTTTATTAACGACATTGCTAACATAAACATCAGTGGCAAAATATGTCTTTTTGCCACGACATTTCACTTGGAGCAGCAAGGACGTCACGGCACTTTATAGGATTATATCAGATGACTTAATCACCATTAAATCTTGGTGCGATTCGAACCTCCTGAGTCTCAACATTTCTAAAACTAGAGCTTTGTCGTATAAAAACTCGCTGCAGCCTTTTGTACTTAACAACACCACCATTGACGTCGTAAAATCTGTAAAATTCTTAGGGCTTGTTGTGGACAATTCTCTGAAATGGGATATGCATATCGAAGCTTTGTCGAAAAAATTGATCTCTGCCTGTTTTGCATTAAGATCTGTTTCTAAGGAGCTTAACTTGTCAGTGGCTAGAACTGTTTATTATGCACTTGTTGAGTCGCACCTCAGGTATGCCCTTCCATTCTGGGGTACGTATTGTGCGACTCAATTTGACCGCATTTTCAAGCTCCGGAAGAGAGCTGTTCGAAGTTCACTGGGACTAAACAGCAGAACTCATTACCAGGACTTTTTTAAAAAATAAAAAATATTAACTCTTCCTTCCTTATTTATATCTGAATCCGTTTGCCTAATACGTAAGCATGTATCAGCTTCTCAAGAAAGGCCATCTCACACTCATCCACTTAGGAACGCGGAGCAAGATCTTTATCTACCTACCCCACGCTCAGAGTTAGTTAAAAGTTCAATATTATACAACTCAAAAAAATGCACAATCACCTGCCATTTGAAATCAAATCCATAACATCATTTTCTTCATTTCGCAAAGCATTGAACTGTTATTTACTAGACAAGGCTTTCTACATTAATTATATTTTGATAATTTGCCGTAAATTAATTATATTTTGATAATCGAATTTGATCTTGTAAACACTGGTCTAATGTTTGCTATTGCTATATTTACCAATGACACCGAAATAAATTTATTTAGAGGTCATTGATATTTACTATAAACTTACTAAATATTTTTGAATATTATTTTTATTTTTTTTGTTTTTTTAGACCAAGTTACACGCCGATCAATGGTAGTTTAAGTATAACAGTCCAACATAGTGACATAGCTAAGGTGAACTCAACAGGTATTACTGATCTGAGCATTTTGGAACCCAACCAGTCCACACCAATCGAGATTACAGCATCGAGTCCAGGAAAAACCGACATCTATACTAATTCAACGTCAAGTCTCGTCAAGTAAGGCCAAAATCAAAAAATGTTATTCGTTGAATACAAATACTAAAGCTTCATTCAGAACCTCCCAATTAGTGAAATAAATTAGTGGTTATAATTACACTTTATACTTTTTAGTTTACGATCATTCACAATGTCTAAAAAAACACAATTAAAATTAATAAAATATCCTAGCAACAGCTTGTGGTAGTCTGTTGCTAGAGATATTGCTATCCATAGAGAAAGCATAATATTTCCCAAGTAGCATTTTCACGACTTGCGACCACATGTTTACTAAACACAACGTTGGATTAGTTACAAAAAATAGTTAGCTTCGTACCTTAGGTATTAAAATAAATGTAAACGTTGTTGTAACGTTGTGCCGACGTTGAACTAGTACTACAACAAAGTAAAAGCTTCTGCGACGTCGAATAAACGTTGTCTTGTAACCTTTTTTGCTTAAGTGATCTTTAGGTGATTCGGACAACGTAGTTACAATGTTGGGCAATAAAGAGTTTTCCGACGTCACTTTCAGGACCTATTCCAACGTTATGCAAACGTCGTCTGTTTTACTAATTCCAACGTTGTTTAGATTTCGTTTAGATAGGTCGGGTTGGTTTGGGTTGGTTTGGCTGTTTTTTTTTTCTATTTATCTTTTTGATTGATATTTTGGTTTAAACAGGAGTGAAACATAATCAACCAAAACACGCGTAAGTGTGTTTTGATTGCTTTTGTTTCACTCTTTTGTTTTTTTTTAGTTTTCCTATTCACACATTACCAACGCATTTTTATTATTAAAAATGACTATTTTTCAAAATAAAAATAAAAAACAGAAAAAGAAAATTCAGTGGAACTGGCAACATTGCTTTTCCTTCTGACACTGTCATGTTAAATCAAGTGTTAAAATTCGTCAAATATGTGTCAAAAACTACTAAAATTAAATTAAAATATTTTAAAATTCTGTGCATAATCTCCATTTATTTTTATTTAAAACTACTAATAAAAATTGTTACTTTTTGATAAAAAAAAGAAAAATGCAAAAATCGTGTGTCAGGATAGTTCTCCGGACCCGAGTCAAATAATTTAGCTACAAGTTGTTTAAAAAATCATCAAAATCAGTCCACTACTCGTAAAACACAATATATAAAACTTTAAAATTCTTATATTTTAAAAGGGATTTGTTTAAATGTTTTCAGTGTCAACGATATCTATTTTAAAGTTACCGTGTACAGAGTCCAATGGCTAATTAAGTTTTCAACAGCTATAGGATGGATATATTTTGTGGCTTGGTCAGTATCATTCTACCCTCAAGCTTATAGTAACTGGAAAAGAAAAAGGTATGAAAACAATCCAATCTACAGTTACAGTGTAATATTTTTTTTATTTATTTTCAGTGTTATAGGTCTTAATTTCGACTTTCTACACTTGAATATAGTGGGATTTGTTCTATATTCCATATTTAACTTGGGACTGTACTTCATTCCAGAACTAAGGGTGAGTAACAAATAGATCGACTCAAACGGTAATAGTGTCCTAATAATAATCCTAAAATTTATCAAGCTGTAGATTGTAGTGTGCTAATCACCGCGACCTTATACAGGGTTGTTCACCACATACGACACGGAGTATTGCAGCTAAACGTTTAGATTTTTACAAATTGTAAGTTCGGGTTCCTTGAAGGACTATTAGAGCTACAATTAAAAAATATTTTTAGAAGATACAGAGTGTCCCAAATAAGTTAAAAATATTATAGTTGTATTTTTTTAAATGGAACATCCTGTATATTATTCTATTTTTAGATTCTACGATTGAAATAAAGGTAAATTTGGTTAAGGTTTATCACGCTTAAACCTTACCGTTTTTGAAATATTTTCAATTTTATGAAATTGCAGTAAAAATTTTAAAGCTTCATTTTTCCAAGGGTATCAAAGTTTTTAATACTAAATATTTACTGAAGATTATTTATTGATCAGATATTGTGTTGCAATAATAAAAATTTTACTACCTTATACAGAGTCTCCAAAAATTTATATTAAATAATTACTAGCTTTAAACGGCAATAACTTGTTTAATTTAAATGGAACACCCTATATATTTTACGTCAATCAGATGCACAATGTAATTGTCTATCAAATTGTATTATACCATTTTTTACCCATTTCTTCAAGTTTTCGTAGAAAATGCATTTTCTTATAATTTAGACCTCATTTATACCCGTGAAATATTGACATTTTAGATTATTTTTAAAGATGTAACAAATTTTCAAAGAGTACAGATACTACTATTGTCGATATAGTTTGCTTATTTCATTAAAAAATAAAAAACAAAACTGTTTAAATATTGTTTGTGAAAAAGGACCAATTAATATGATCCCAGTATTCAAACTACATTAATTGACTGTTTACGTTGATTAATGATAATTGCTCCAAATACTAAAAAACTGAATTTTGTGTGTGTATTAGACAGTGCGGTAAAAAGTAACACTTTATAAATTTTATTTCATTTTTTGACGAATGCTTGTTTATAAAAACAGAGACATTCATTTTCATAACTTATTATTGATTTCTGAGCCAAGTTCACATTTATTTAGAATACTTTATTAATTAAAACAATTTAAAAGTAAGTAATTGGTATATACTTTCACAAAGATTTAAATAGTTTTTTTTGTATACCAATGGGCTTGCAATACATTTTGTACATATATATTAAAAAAATCTGAAATGTCAATATTCCATGGGTATATAGATAAATGAGGTCTAAATTATAAGAAAATGAATTTTCTACGAAAACTTGAAGAGATGGGTAAAACATGGTATAATACAATTTGATAGATAATTACATTGTGCATTTGATTCACGTAAAATATATAGGGTGTTCTATTTAAATTAAACAAGTTATTGCAGTTTAAAGCTAGTAATTATTTAATATAAATTTTTGGACACTCTGTATAAGGTGGTAAAATTTTTATTATTGCAAAACAATATCTGATCAATAAATAATCTTCAGTAAATATTTAGTATTAAAAACTTTGATACCTTTGGAGAAATGAAGCCTTAAAATTTTTACTGCTATTTCATAAAATAGAAAATATTTCAAAAACGGTAAGGTTTAAGTGTGATAAACCTTAATCAAATTTACCTTTATTTTAATCGGAGAATCCAAAAATAGAATAATATACAGGGTGTTCAATTTAAAAAAATACAACTTTGATATTTTGATTTATCTGGGACACTCTGTATCTTGTAAAAATATTTTTAAATTGTAGCTCTAATAGTCCTTCAACGAACCTAAAACATGCAATTTGTAAAAATCTAATCGTTTAGCTACAATACTCCGTGTCGTATGTGGTGAACAACCCTGTATATCTATTGTGTATATATTTTTTAACTCATCGTTCAGTCTCATGGCTTTGAGAAATGCCAGTATTTGAGACGGTTTTACAGAGGTTAATTCTCCATCTTCGATATCAGTCGTACCTAAGATTATAGCACCAATGGATATCGTCTTAGCGCACTCAGTGACGTTCTGGTGTTTCCCCATATTCCCCACAGAATCTGCATTCGCCTTTGTTCCTTAGCTTTAATCTACTGAGGTGTGCATTGAGGAGACATTGTTCTGTTAAAAACCCCGTCACACTCCGAAGATTATTCTTCCTTAAATCAAGGAAAATCTTCACCTATGTAGAGATATGTTGACCACCCTGTGTTTTGTAGTCATTCTTGTAACTTCTAAAAGCTCTAAAAGTCCACTCTATATTTATATTATTTTTTTTTTTTAAATATTCTAAAATCGGCTTCACCATATTTCTTTAATTCTGGCATTTCTAAAACGGTATGAAAATTTGGAAAAGTACAAACGTGATTAACCATTTTAGAACAAGCAAAATTTTTATCAGGAATCCATTTTCCTTTAAATATCAACAATAAAAAAGTTTTTTCTCTTGTAAAGACAATCCGGGGACATACTGTACATGTATCATTAAGGATCATTGTTATTAAGAAGTAGTACAAAGGAACTTTCTTTCGAAAAACACTAATTTTTCCTCATCATCAACAGTTAAAAAACTAAAATAGAAACGACGTTTTCAAAAGACAGACTTAACAAGTAATTATATAGTTAAAGCATTGTTATGGTACTATTAAATCTAATTATACTACTATTAAATGCCGGTAAAATGTGACATTCGCATATTTATACAAAAATACCAGAAAACTGAATAATCTTACAGGTACCAGGGCGCTCTGAAAAGTTAATCTTGCTTTTTGTCTACTCCTCTGAAAAATAAGTAAATTAAAAGAATTATAAAATATATGTTCATACAAGTGTCACGTATTTGTTTACATTTACAACTTGCAATGTTGCCTCATTTTCCAGAACTATCAGTTGTGCAAAAAAATTATATTTATATTATGCCATTTGGAAGTTTATTACTTATACCCCTTGTAATATTATATAAACAAGGCTTATACTCATTAATTTTTTACAGTAATATTTAGTACATACTAATAAACTATAAGAGGTTGTTGTATTGAGTGCCTTTATATTCACTTATTTCTGTGGGCGAGATTTTATTAACAATAAGCTTGAATCTACACTGATATTAGTTGAGTGCTAATTTCTATAAACGGCAATATCTACAGGGTGAACCTTAAATAAGTGCAAACATTTTTAAAGTAGTATATTTCGACCCCAGAAACACGATTATGTTTTTTTTTGCGAAAAGTTTTTTGAAAAATTTAATTTTTTTTGTAATTCTTTTTAGTTTTTGTTAAAAAAAACAATGTTTTGTTAATATGGCAACATAGGTAGTAGACTCAATTTACAAGCAAGAAAACCCAGAAAAGATACAGTGGTTATCAAAATTTAAGCAAAAATAATTTGTTTGGAAATTTTCAAAGCAAAATAACGAGTTAACTAAAAAGCGAAGTTGCTATTCACAACAAACAAAAATCATTGTGTACGCGCGACCGACAAAAAGGGAGATATTCTGTTTCTTTTTTCTACTGATATGGCGCCCTTATCGACTTCAGAAGTAAACCTATTAGGGCCATCGTAAAAAAAGATCGTCAGACACTGGCTCTAAATATAAGCAGATAGAAAGTTTAGCTTCCAGTTATTTCAATGTTTACAATATAACGAAGAATCTACAACAGTAATTACTTCTATTTTTATGAATGTTTAAGTTACTTTCTTAATTTTTTTTTCAAAATAATGTACCTAGTAGAAATATAGTCTAATGAACCCTGTTTGAAAAACGTTAAATTAAATATAATATTTAAAATACAGTTGTCCTCCTTGTACATGACTACAATACAACTAAAAAAACTAATTTAATAAAAAAAAACAAGTGGTTGTAGAAAAACTTTAAATACCTATAATTTTTTTTATTTTTTAATCGAAACTCAAAGGTATAAAACAGGTATCATACCAACCATAAATAGAGAGGTATGTCATATAAAAATGTTTTGAGTTTTTACTAGAATCGACCCTTGATAAAAAAAAAAGGGATTAGATTTAAGTTTACCTTTGATCCAGTCTGTATACTATTTCTTTGGATTTTCTGCACGTGTGCAAAAACTACACTAAAACACTATATCTTATAGAAAATAAAATATTGTGCCTTGAATTTGAGGGATTTCATCTGAAAAATTATTAATTTGGAAGAAAACCGGCAACAAGCGACAGAAAATAATAATATTTCCGTGCAATCTTCTGGTCGCAACGACCAACGGACGGCCAGGACGTTAGTGTGCGCTATAGCCAGGGCCATGTAAGTGAAATATTCAAAATGGTTCCAGCAAAAGTTTCCCAATTATGACGGGTGATGGCGCTGATCGTCAAGATTTTTGGACAGGGATTTTGCTTACCGACAATACGACGTGAGCTACGACCGGACCGGACGACCGGACCAATCAGAATGATCAGTCCTGTGGATCAGTCTTTCTTGGACATTTGCCGCGGAGGTGTGTGTTAATTTCTGTTGTGAAAAGTGTGGTTGGGTTTACAGTTTGATTTTTCGGTTTTGATATTATGTTATAATTAATTTTGAAGTATTGTATCACCTGTTTTTATGTAATAGTACTTTTTCTAGTTCTATGATCTGATATGTTATGATTTGTTAATGTTTGTTTAACAATGTTATACCAAAGAGGTTATACTTAATATATCAATTTTCATAGCCTAACTTTTTTATCAATAAACTTTGTAGATTTTCTGATTATTTAATTCCTTTTGTTTCCGTTTGTAATTTTATTTTTAAGACATATTATGTGATTGTTTCAGATAATATGTTTTAAAAATAAAATTGCAAATAGCGAATAAAAATAACTAAAATAAAAAAGTGTATTTTACAATTCCCCCCGGCCCCGCACCCCTTTGGCTAACCTGTAAATGTCAGCTTTGTCGAGAGATGGCGCTACGAAAATGGAACCGATTTATTACAAGGAACTTGGGCTTCTTTTTCGTTAGTATATTCTGTGGCTATATCATTTGATTTAATGGTTTTAGAGGTAGCTGCGGCCTGGCCGGTGCGACCTGGTCGTCAGTGTGTTCGAGCCCTAAAGGAGTACTTGGGATTCACAATCCTGAGGTAATAATAGGCGGTTGAAGCCTAGTGCTAGCCACATTACCTTCCTTGTATACCGAACGGCTCTAGTATGGCAAGCTGTAACTTGCTACTCCCAAGGCGTTAAAAGCTATATACGGGAGCTATTATTATTAGATATCAATGAAAATATTGGTAAAAGTCTATATTTATACGTCAGTCATTTGTCAGTTCTTTTACGCTAAGTCATAGATAGAGGAATTATATTTAGATTGGAATGTTCGGTTTCCCGCCAAAAATTCGAATTGTTTTTGATCGCGTCCGTTGTGGCGCTGCCAGCAGTTACTAAAAACAACCATTTTCTATTGTTAAAGTCAGAATACTTAAAAATTCTAAAATTTTCAAAAAGTTAATCCACCCCTCATTGAAAAAAAACCCTGAAAGTATTTAAAGCGTTCTTTTTCAAAGTTATTGTTGCTATTTTGTGAGTGTTTTTTAAATTTTATTTGCCCAAACCCGTGATAATTGTGGAAAATGGCATTAAAAAATTAAAAAACTGCTTTGTGAACTGCAAAACCAAAGGTGGTGAAAAATATCGGTTCCCAAAAAGTGATCTACATATTTTCCAACCTTCACCTAATAATGTGAAACCTGGGGATATATGTTTTTAACTGTAGCCTGCCATTATAATAAATATTTTACAGTATGTCCCCGGAAACACTTTTTTATTATTGAAAAATGCATTCTTCATAAAAAATTCGCTTGCTCTAAAATTGTTAATCCTTTGACAACACAAAGTCCAGTCAAATTAACCTACTTTTCTACAGCAAATAGAAGAAATCTTGAATGTATTTTAATATATAACTGATTTCCCAAAGTAGATATTTTTATAGACAATTAAGAAGACATATTTTTATATATTGTTTAAATCAACCCTGTATCTATCTGTTCTTTCATTCAATCACTTTTTGTTGAAGGAAAAATAATAGAAAGGTAAATAAATAATATATTTATTGCCTAAACATACTTTAAAATATCTATGTATCTACTCCTTGTCACATTCTAACGGCGTTTCACTTTAATAGGATTTCACAAGTCAATGGCAACATATTTGCATACCTATCTGCATTGATAACTAATAAAACAAACACATTAGGTAGCTCGAGAGTGTGTGGAATACTTTTATTTTTCCTACGGAGAAAAAATATATTAGTATGCCCTTAATAAAATTTACCTACAAGCAATAACATAATAAATTCTTTTAGGAAGAATATACCAACAGGTACCCCAGAGGTTTGAACCCCGTTCAAGTCAATGACATATTCTTTGCCGTTCATGCTGTCATCTTAACACTTGTTACTATAGCACAGTGCTATATTTACGAAAAAGGTGACCAGAGAGTTTCCACCACTGCCAAAGTCATATTAGGTAAGAAATATTACTAGGAATTAATAATTTACATTAAAAACTCTTTGTAAATATCGTCTATTATTCTTTTTTAGGGATATTTGGATTATTTTTAACTATATCAATATTCCTGGCAGGATTTAAGGTGATCCATTGGTTGGACTTTTTATATTACTGTTCTTATGTTAAGTTGACCATTACGTTGATCAAATATATACCTCAGGTAAGTGAAATATTATCTACAAGGTGCTACAAATTCGAGGTACGAGCATTGGCATCTCAGTAACCGTAATAGAACCAACGTGGTAAAGTTATGCTTTAGGATGTTAAACAAAAAAGTTTTAAAATTTTCAGAAAATCGGATTTTTTTGAAAATCAATTTTATTTTTTCCTGCCGTTACTTTTTAGAAAATCAACAAACTAATTGCACATTCTCAGGGTGCAGCCACACTATCCTAAAAACGGCGTATCGGCGTAACGGCGTAACGACCTTGAATCGATTTCCAGTAATTCTATTGGCTGAAATTTTTGACAGATGAATTTGACAGATAAAATTTCTGACAGATGAATGTTTCAGCCAATAGAATTACTGGAAATATATTCAAGGTCATTACGCCGTTACGCCGATATGCCGTTTTTAGGATAGTGTGGCTGCACCCTCATAGCCACTTTATTAAGGCTATCTGGTAGTATTTTTAGATTTTCAAATTAGCTGATAATTTGTGAGATACACACATCTCATGAAAACATCGATATCATTATCAATTATTGTTAAATGACAAAATTTATTTCTAGGCTTACATGAACTACAAGAGAAAAAGTACTGATGGTTGGAGCATCGGAAACATCCTCCTAGATTTTACTGGCGGTATTTTGAGCATGCTTCAAATGATACTCAATGCTTACAATTACGGTAAGAAAAAATATCCATATACCGTCTCAAAAGTGGCTCACCCCCAATAACGGTAAACTAATAGGATTGTTCATCCTCATACGACGTACGTTCGCCTTTTCCCGCGCTTCAGCTGACAGTTGTGACGTCATTATAGTCCTTGTCATGATAGTGTGTATTATTGGTTGCCTGACTTATAAAAATAACAGCTGATAAATTTTGAGTTAATTATTTTGTCAATTTTAAATGCGAAAAAGGTGTTTTTAAAGTTTTTAGAGCTATAGAGTGTAAATACGTCCATTTTGTGTTGTGGATTGTGACTAAGTGCTTACTAAAAGTGCCTACGATTATTGTTTATTAATTATTTTAAAGCAAAATATGGAAGTACTCTAAAAAGAATGCCTGCAAAAGGTGATGCTGGGAAATCCTGTTCTTAAAAATGCATTATCCGAGTATTTAATACGATTTATACATTTAATTTTCTATACTGCATACATATAAGGTGTTTAAATAAATAAACTAAATAATGAACGTTTTGCATCCGGCAACCAATAATACACACACTATCACGACAAGGACTACAATGACGTCACAAAGCGAGGAGTTTTCGCATGCACCTGGCAGACACTTTCGGCTGAATGAGCAGTCCTATTAGGTTAACTGTTCTTGGCTCACCCCCTATAACTTTTTTATTTTTTCAGATAAAAAACGAAATTTGGTGTGTTAGTATATGACATAAATTAGGATTGATTGACGTATTCAATTCTTTTCGGTCACTTCCTGTTTCACCGGAAATTACTACAACTTTTGATTTTTAAATTGCACCCTCGTCATTTTTTTACTTGATTCGATAGAAAATGACACTCTGAATAGAATGACATATCATATGTTAACTTTTGTAACATGTTTTTGTATGAATCCAGTATTACAGATAAATATTGTCCCAATAATTTCAATATTACAATAATATAGCGATTTCATAATTAAAACTATGTGGTCTAGATTTTAACGTGTAACACAGTGATGTAGACAGCTTAATGGAAAATCAAATGTATTAAAAAGAGATAAAAATTGTGTCGACACATTTCTTCTATGCGGTATTGCCGGATTTTGCACCAAAATTTCAAACCGTACAAGTAGGCGTTTACGAAAAGTGTTGCATCTAGGGCTGGAACTTTGTTTTTCATTTGTTACTCATTTTACTAACAGCTGTAGTAGATTATATTTAGTTTAGATATATTATCCTCATTTCAGTAGTATACATGAAAGTTTTTAAAATAGATTATATTACACATACTAGCGTGTACCCGCGACTTCGTTCGCGTCGAATTAATCATTTGTAATGGTGATGATAAAGCAAAGCAACAATTTCCGTTAACATACAAACTGGATAAAATTTTCTCACATTTATGTCAACGTGAGAAAAAACAATATGGCGATATTATTATATAACTTGGTAATATTTGAGGGGTAGTTTCATCTCGTTGGAATTTGACTTTCGAAAAATCCGTTTGCCAAAAATAAGCTTTTTACGTCAAACAGTTTAAGCAGAATCGTGGTTAAGAAATTACCCAACTTTTTGGAACACCCTGTATGATTTTTTAAAAAATTTTAAAATATGTAAAAAACCAAATAAATTGTGCTTGTCCAAGCGTTTTCCCGACAGACTAACCGTTTTTTAAATAACAAATATTGTAATATTTGAGGGGCGTTTTCACCCTCTTGGAATTTGAGATTCGAGAAACCCCTCCTTATCGAACCTCTACACCCCACAGTCAATCCGTTTGCCAAAAATCAGCTTTAAACGTCAAGCAGTTTTAGCAGAATCGTGATTACTCAATGGTCATATTTTATGAAACACCCTGTATAAATTTATAAAAAATCTTAAAATATGTAAAACAACAAAATAAAATATACGTGTTTTTCCGAAAAACTCACCGGTTTTTAAATAAAAAATATTTTAATATTTGAGGGATAATTTCACACTCTTAGAATTCGAGTTTCGAAAAATCCCTTCTTTTCGAACCTCTACACCCTAAAGTCAATCTGTTTTCCAAAAATCAGCTTTTTCCGTCAAGCGCTTTAAGCAGGATCGTGATTAATCAATGACCAGATTTTTCGAAACACCCTGTATACATTTTTAGAAAATCTTAAAATATGTAAAAAAACAAAATAAAATATACGTGTTTAAGCGTTTTTCCGGAAACTTGACCGTTTTTTAAATAAAAAATATTGTAATATTTGAGGGGTGGTTTCACCCTCTTGGAACTGGAATTTTGAAAAATCCCTTCTTATCGAACCTCTACACCCTAGAATCAACTTGTATGCCAAAATTGAGCTTCCTACGTTGAGTGGTTTGAGCAGGATCGTGATTAATCAGTATGTCAGTCACTTAAGGATTTTATATATTAGTATAGATTTTCCTACAAACGGAAATAAAACCGGCAACACTGTATGCCGCTTTTGATTTTGTCTCTCTGTCTGTCAACCGGTCATCTATATTGTCACACGCATTAAAATCCAGACCACATAAATTGGATGACCAGCAGGGTATACTCAATATTTATTTTAGAAAAATGACCAATACTTCTATAAATTGTGAAATGAATTAATCCTAATTTATGTTATACAGGGTGTGTTTTCTACTATGTTCTCTATGGTTATCTCGGAAACTGCTGAGAGATTTTCGGTTAAATGGGGAAAGAATTGCAGTTTTGTGGGGTCATAAATATGCGCCTTTCAGATTTTTTAAAATGTTCATGGCCTACTAGATATTTCGAAAAAAAAACAAATTTCGGCTATTTTAAAAATTGTCCCTTATTCCAGTATAATGTATTTTAGACAAAAAGTTTTCAGCTAAAAGTTGTAGATAATCACATCCTTATAATTTGTAAAATAGCCGAAATTTGTCTTTTTCGACATATCTAGTAAGCCAAAACTGCAATTCTTTCCGCATTTAACCGACTCTCTATCTTCAGTAGTTTCCGAAATACCTATAGAGAACGTCGTAGAAAACTCACTCTGTATACTAACATGCCAAATCTCGTTTTTTTATCTGAAAAAATAAAAAAGTTATAAGGGTGCGAACAAAGTGATTCTCCATGTTAGCCAACTCTGAAAGATACCTGATCTAAACATAATTTTAATTTATTACCTATTTTAGATGATTGGCAGTCAATATTTGGCGATCCTACAAAGTTTGGTTTAGGTCTATTTTCTGTGGCATTCGACATTTTGTTCATTCTCCAGCATTATGTGTTCTATCGACATAGATCTGATAGTCAGTATGTTTTTCAGCAGTGAACCTTTTTAAAAAACTGAAATGCTTAATTTTATTGTATAGATGCATATATTGTTGATTTTACCTACAAACTAGTGTTAGGCAAAGCAAACATTTCATGCTTTTGTTGTCTAATTTATTTTATATGTGTATAAGTAGATTAAAATAGATAATTATATTTAGAAATACCGTATGATCGAAAAAAAATGGCGTCCAGTTGGTTGGGAAATGACGATCGATGACATTTCCCATATAAATTTACACACAAAATGACAGCGATCTTCATTTCCCAGCCAACTGGACGCCGTTTTTTCTCGATCATACGGTATTTAGCTCTTTGATACAAGTTATATATTTATATTGTGAAAAGTATTTTTAAGATATATTTATTTACATCACAACAAAGTATGTTATGGACATGATATATTGATACTTTGTTATTAATTTTGTTACAAAGTTCCTTAAATTTTTTTAAAGTATGGACTATGTGTAGTTGATGAAGTTATGTTTTAAAGATTAAGAGACTATATCATTGGTTTAGTGAAAAAGTGCCCTGTTTCAGTATTTGTGTTCATGTTAAATGTTCTATTTTTAATTAAAAAAACATATTGCCTTTTTTTTGTAGTTTTATTTATACCCTCCCAAATAGCATTTTCACGACTTGCGACAACATGTAACGTTGTGCCGACGTTGAACTAGTACTACAACAAAGTAAAAACTTCTGCGACGTCGAATAAACGTTATCTTGTAATCTTTTTTGCTTAAGTGATCTTTAGGTGATTCGGACAACGTAGTTACAATGTTGGGCAATAAAGAGTTTTCCGACGTCACTTTCAGGACCTATTCCAACGTTATACAAACGTTTTACTAATTCCAACGTTGTTTAGATTTGCTTATTCTTACGTTGGTAGGACGTCGAGCCATAAATAATTAACTAGAAAGAAGTGTCAACTCTGTGTTAAAACTTGGAAACACGATACGCCACCGAAAGCCTTCGTTGTCGTCTGGAGAACTAATTTTCCAATTGACAGGTTGACATGATGGCTCCATTTTTATTTCCGTTTCCGGTTATTCAATGGCGGGCCCTCTTTTAGTTTAAATATATTTTGTACTCTTTCTTATCATAAATAAAACAAAACAAAATTTTATTCAAACATATTTATTTGAAATATGAGACAACATGACTAAATAAATATAAAAAATAAAGAATTGAATGATTTCTACAGCAATTACTTAATTATATGCAATTTTAAGCATGACTTACAGTAATTTGTAAATAAATACACGTATTCACAGCCATCAGGGACAGAAAACTGGGGCAGGAACATGAAAACGGGAGCCTTATACAAAAACCGGAAAACAGAAAAACAATTTTTTTTATACTAAAATTAACAATGTAAAATAATATATAATACATTATCAATAGATATAAAATATAAATATACTGTTTAAAAAAGCGTCCATTATTCCCAAAGAGACCAGGCTTATAAATCAAAAAGAAACAAAAAGAGACTTTTAGTCGGATAACATAATCAGATTATCAGTCCGATTTATTGCATTACTGACAATAAATCGCACATACTGGAGATAACTAATATTGGCTATAGTTAAAAATGATCTTACCTTGCTGTAAATTGTTTTCATTTTCAAAAAAATCGCCGATCAAAGAGATTATAACACCATTTTCTTGCATCTAAAAATGTAAAAACAGTGTTTATTTACTACCTATTTTTCATATACATAGGACATACCTACTACTGCAGAAACGTCATTCTCTCCAGAATTCTTCATGTAATATATATTTTATATACTTTATTACCTTTATATTTATAAATTTCAGCCGAAATATTAAATTGAACTTCCAAAACGAAACTAAACGGAATGAATTAAAATGGCGTCGAATATTTTCTAATTTGTTCTAGAACAAATCTGAAGTTGTCTCTGAAACTGAAATCTGTCAATTCTAAACTGTGAAGTTAGGCAATAGTTAGACAAAAACATTGCTGTCCTTGTCTAGCCGGCCATACTTGTCGTCAGGAGAATGACAGGAATGACACTAATGACTGTTTCCAATTTTCCTATTTCAGTCACCCCCCTGCGTCGAGCCACTACCTTTTTGCAACTGTATTGAACCATAACCTTAAATCTTAAATTTTCACTTCATTGTTCTGTTCAGTCAGACAGTTCAGTGTTGTTTTGGTTTTATAAAAAAACTTAATTAAAATGGGACGTAAGGAAGGCACATATAAAACTAAATTTAAATATACATCGACATATTACCGATATTTTATCCACTCCCTCGTTTATTTAGAATATAGAGGGCGGCACAAGCTAGACTTTTAGGATGACTAAATTAGGCAATCTTGCGACTGCGACTTTATTAGTCCAGTATGCGACTACTCGAACTACTCCATCTTAATCTCCAAAACAACAAAGTGAAAGCCGCCATGTTGTTGAATAAGAAAATGTTTCGTTCCTAAAATAGCAATTCCTGCTTTTTGAATACATTAACTTGAAATATTTGACCCTAAACAACACGCGGAAACAATTTTTTTTTCGACTGCGAATAAATTATTCTCATTTTACTACAAAAAATCAAGAAATTTTTTAAAACTTCTTTAATTTTAAGGCCCATTAGTATTTTTTAAAGTAGAAACAATACATTTATCAATAAAGTTGTTTGCGTTTAACTTTTTTGCCTTGGGTAACGAGTTACAGAGTTGGTTAAAGTGTTTAAATAATTATAATCTTCAAACATCCTCCACACTTAAATACTTTTGTTTGGTTTTCCTTTACTGCCATCTGGCCTATGTCTCTTACTAAATCATAAAAATACTATTTTTACTATAATTATCCCAATTTAGGATAAAACGCGACTTAGACGCCATATTATTATAGTTTTGTATTTCTGTGAATTAGGATTTTAAACAACTTTGCAGTTTGTACTAAATTAGGCTACTAGCCAACGTAGGTATCCAACGTCGTTTCGACCCAAGAATTATTCTCCAAACTAGTGCAGACTAGGGTTGGCACGAGGTTGTGCCGACGTTGCGCCCCTTGTCCCGACGTCCAAATGCTGCTTGGGCTGACAGAAACTGGTAGACAACCCTGACAGAAAGTTTTAGAGTTGTGCCTAAATAATAATTGCCATAATAGCCCAAGAATATAGGCCTTGAAATACAAAGTTTTAGTAAAAACTTGATTTTAGTTACTTTGAAAGATCTAAAAACGAATTGTGAAAGATTTTATTAAATTCACCCCCGAGAAGGGGTGAAATAATTAATAAATAAAATTATTTTTTCGAAATTTCGAAGAACTTTCACAATTCGTTTCTAGATCTTTCAAAGTTACCAAGTTAAGTTTAACTAAGGCTTGGAAATGACGATGGATGACATTCCCCCTATAATTATTTTACATATAAAATGACAGGAATCTTCATTTCATAGTCATCACTGACTCCGGTTTTTTTTCGATTATATTGTATTGAAAATGAACAAATAAATATATAGTCATATCTTAAGGCAATAAAGCCAGACATTAGTATTTGCCAGATATTAATAGATAATTTAAGAATATTTTTAAAATTAAACACCTGAATAAATATATATAATGTGAAAATATTTGGTCATAAAATAAACTGCCCCTCAAATTAAATACCACAGCGATTTTTTTACTCATTTTCAACGAGTTGTAACTTTGAAAAAAATGGACCAATTTTGTTGATTTTTTTAGCATATTTAAGATCGTTTTTCGTAGATTGATCGGATTTTTCTAAATTTTGTATGAGATTTAGTTTTCTATGATATAGAGGGTGTAAAAAAAAGGAATGTAATTTTTGTGTTGCTGCCATTTTGCTAAAAAACAAAATTTAACTAGAATTATAGTTCTGGGTATAGCTAAGACTAATATCTCGGGACGTATTTGGAATTTTTACGATAACTCATCGGGAATAAAAGATACTTTTACATAATTTCTTGATAATATGGTAACATAGGTATTAGATTAAATTTACAAGAAAGAAAATCCAAAAAAGATCCAGTGGTTCTCAAAATTTTAGCAAATAATTATTTTTTTTTTTGGAAATTTTAAAAGTGGACTTTTGTGGACCGTTATTTTGGACTTATTTGAAAAACGACAAAGAGAAAATATGTTTCTTTTATCGAGACCTATTACCCCTTAAAGCACTTATTTCTGGGACACCCTGTATATACAAGGCTACCAGTGAAACTAGAAAAAAATTATATAAGAACAAATTTTAAATTTCAATAAAAGCAAAAAGTCAATTAGCATTTTCCTTATATAGCCTAGTATGTTGTTAAAATCACTATTATACATTAAATCAAATTAAAACTTGACACAGAAAGTTATACAGGGTGAAACAAAATTAATATCGAACATTGTTCAGCTTTAAAAACAAGTTAAACTTTTATTTTAAATGGAACACCCAATATATTATTCCGATATTAAATGAAGAATTCATGTCTCTTCAAAATACTATTATGGTTGCCTACCCCTCAAACAAAGATTTTATCAGATATTTTCATTTTTATAATTTAGTGTCGTAGTTTTAGTAGACCTTTATTATTTGATAGTCTGCTGCAATCAAAAAGGAAAATCTTTATCTAAGAGGTAGGTAACCATAAAAGCATTTTGAATATATATGAATTCTCTATTGAATATCGGAATCATATACTGGGTATTCCTCTTAAAATAAAAGAGAGTAAACTTACTTTTAAAGCTGAATAATGTTCAATATTAATTTTGTCTCACCCTGTATAACTTTACAGGTCAAATTTTAGTTTGGTTATTATACAATGGTTATTTAAACTAAATGACAGGCTATACTGGGTAAAAACAATTTAGGCAGCTGTTATTGCAATTTAAAATTTATCCTTTGTTTTCACAAAATTTGGGGGGCATCCTGTAAAACTCTATATTTTTATGAAATGCCTTTCAATTAACCTACATATCCTAACTAAAAATATATAAAATAGCAATTTTACTATGTAATCAATCATTTTATTAGACCAAGAAATGATAATTTATAAAATGCTGTTTCAAGATACAATTAATGTAGTTTGTATTTTTTAAACTTATTCATAAATAGTATTAAAATATAAGCCTTGAAAATGTTTCAATTACATCAAACAATTTCTTGATAAAAAAGACAAAACCGAATCAATATCTACCACTCCTACGACGACTGGGAGAACGGCTGTTCCCCCTTCTTTCTCTAGAGCGAGAACGTGCCCTCCTTGGCGATCTTGAACGATCACGAGCACTCGTAGTCCTTCCTCCTTTCTTACGCGCATACAGATATCTACAACATATTAAATATAAATACTGAATAATTATAGTTACAAGAAATAAATACCTTCTTAACTCCCTTGAAATCGGTTTCAAGTGCATAAAATTACAGAATCCTGAACGAGTACATTCGCCCATTTCATACTGACGACAGCACGCTTCCCTAAAGTCTGTTACGGGGCTGAGTTCGGCATAAACAGGTCTACCACCAAACCAGCGATTGTTTAAATCATTTACAGCTCTCTCAGCATCTTCTTCTCTGCGGAACTGTTTAAAATGGATTAGATAAATAAAAATAGCTATACAAACTAATGAGGCTTTACCTTGATGTAAACATTCCCTACTAAATGGTCTCCAAGATTATCGCATACATTCATTTCTTCGATTTCGCCATATTTATCTTCGCATTCAACGAAAACGTCCTCGAAAAAGTTGTCGTAATGTTCTTGCATCTCCTCATCAGACACATTAGCCACCACTGAAATAGTTTTAATTCATGAATATTTTGTAGAAATTTGGCTAAAAATTACTTACAGTGACTTCCATCGGCAGATTTAGCAGAGTTCTGTGGATTTACGTACAAGTTTTGTAGCAAGCAGGTTTGGGAAAAAGTGGGTCTGTTGTGGATTCTTGAGCATCGATCTCCATGTCGGCAAGCACCGATTTTGAAGTAAAACGAACAGTTTACTCTGTAAAAATGGGGCTTTTAGTAAACGGTGAAATTAAATTAGTGGTAAATACATACTTATCTTTCTCTGTACCGAAGATAGAAGCTAAATATTCAGCCATAGTTCAATAAATATTAAATAATCTTACAAGAAATAGCACAAAGCAACATTCAACATTTCGGGAAACATAAAATAAATGTCAAAATTGTCAATTTGTCATTTTCGAATGTTTGGGTATGTTCAGAAACCCTAAATTATTAAATATTAAATTATGTTATTTCCAATTTTTATTTAATATAATTGAGCAACGAGTTATCAGAAATACCAAACCTTTCTCACTTTTTAATTTTTTACTTACAGTCTTTATAAAATTTACTAAAATAAGGATTTTACAAAAGAATTCTGAACGACCTTAATTAGTTGTAAACAAATATGGCTGCTGTGGAAGTGGTGTTTCTTTCAAAATTGGAAAATATTCAACATTTACCTGAGGTAATTTATCAAATTTTCAAGCAAAAGTGTGTTTTCTATTTTTATATATAAATTGTAGTTTGTTCATCATTGTATAAACACAATAACAAATAATTCAAAAGTTTCAACAATTGAGAGTGGGGGTGGCTCCATCGAGTGGAGAGAGGACGAAGCTCAACGCGTTCGAAGTTTTATTCAGAATTTATACAGAGAAGGAATTTTGAACGGTAAACTTTCGTTGCCCAGATCGCTACCAGATGGCGCAAGGGCAGTAATAGAAAATATTTTTGAATTACGGCGCAAAGATATTTCGAATGCCGTTATTAAAGAAAATTTAGCGAAAAACGGTGAGCAAGTCGTCGAAAACTATGATTGGAAATTAAAATGGATAATGGGGTCTTCAGAATTAGCTTCCATTCGTGAACCAGTATGTCAAGTTGACTTTCATTGCTTAACAAAAGATGACAAAGAAGCGATTGTGAGGAAAACAATAAACTTTGAGATGAACTTAGAAAAAATAGACAACCTGATCAGTGTTTTAAAGAGTATGAACGAAGAATTAAATGAAAGATAAATTTTTTTGTATTTTATTTAATGCCTTAATTTTATTTTTGTTAAATTTATAGTATATATTAAATTGAAATATGTTATACAGTCAAATTAAACAATTGCGTAGTTTTCTAAAATATTTTGACAGCTTTACATCATGTTTATATCACATTTATATCAATTAAAATTTGCTTAATCTATTCTAATTAATTTAATCTTTTTTATAGGAATAGTTTATTAGTTATTTATAACACTAAATAATAAAAATGTGACTCAATATGGTTTAATCAACAGTTTTGTAAATAATAAAGTATAGCAATTTGTTTTTCTTGATTTTTATTAATAAACCTTTAATATATTTGATACCAATTAAACTAGTTAAGTAATCAAGCAATTTTTAAATTCATTGTCACCAACTATGGACATATTCGGCGCTTGGCTGATTAACCAGAATTTAAATTTCCCGCTGGGGATTCAGGTGGTAGCTCTGCTGTAAAAAATGGTAAGGTGACACATTTATTTATTTACATTTTGTGTTTACATTGTCATTTGTTTTAGCACTTTAATTTTGTATTACAAGTTTTTGGTTTAAATTATATTAATTTTATTGATATTTTAAGCTTAAAAATGTTTACTAGCAGACCTTGCAGGCGAATATTGTTCTTTTTAGAACCTTTTTTAGTTTGAAGTGGTACAAGATTGTTTAATAGACGTAAAAAACTCGTCCCAACTTTATTAGAATATTTTGAATGGGAAAGCGGTCGTAATGGCCCTTTATGTCTCTTAAGTGCTGTTAAGAAGGTGAGTTTTGTTGTTGTAAATAATAACTATGTTTATATATATATATTTTTTTATTTTGTTGAAACCTAAAAATATTTACCTACAACTAGGTGACCGGTCAATTGTTTTGGTATCATTTCTTGAAATTGTGAAAAATTATTGAAAATATGTAATGTTAACATTGAATGAATAACATATCTTGAAAAAAGTCTAGTTTTTCGCCATTTGAAGAGAAATCTACAAAATAAAAAAGTTATTTATTGTAAACACTAAACACCACTACGCTGATTCCAAACTGAAACCATGATGGAGTTTTTCAGTGGATTTTTACCAGTAAAACAAATTGTCTAATCAACAATAAATGCTTAACTTTGTAGAAGGTACCGTATGATCGAATAAAAAGGCGCGTCAGCGATAGCTATGAAATGAAGATCGCTATCATTTTGTATGTAAATTTATATGGAAAATGTCATCGATGTTCATTTCATAGACATCGTGTTATCGTATATCGATATAGCACTAAATATGCCCCTCCCTAGTTATAATTCAAATTTGGCGCCTTGCCTTGACGGGAAAAACGGAAAGGAAGTAGGACGAGCCTAGCGACTCGCTTCGAAGACGACAACGCGCCAAGAGTTTCGAGGCCGGTCGAGGTTGAAAAAATGTGTGAAATAAATAGTTTTTTGAAACTGTTGTGTCTCTCAATAAAATTAAAACCCACGAAAAGCATTTTTCGTATACATGGCGCCCAACAGCGTGGAGCCGAAGCTGGAGAATTGCTGCTAACAAAATGGAATTGTTCAAGGTTGTTGACGAGACGCCCAAGCTTCCCGAGAACAAGAATGGCGGTGATTTTCTGGACTTTTCTGTTTTTGAAAAGCAGAGTTCCCACTCCCACAACGCTTTCAAAGAATCAACGGACAGCAGTGACCAGTTGAGTCAATCAGACGTGGATGAAGAACAACATAATTATGGTATCCAAACGCCAGCGCAGAGGAATCAACCCTCTACACCCTGTAGGTTCTGTGGACGCCTACATTTTCATCGTGAGTGCCCAGAGAATTCTTACAAACCGGTAAACCGGAGACGGGCTGGAAACGACCCCCACCAGTTGAATCCGGCCAACAACTATCCAACACAATCATCGAGAAACCAGCACTAAGAAGTCGTTTCCAAATTGTGAATGGAGTAAGTACACAATCGCATCTTCCTAGAATAAAAATTAAAATTCATAATAAAGTTATTTTCGCACTTTTATATTCTGGAGCTAGCTGTTTTACCTAATCTTAATTATAACAAAAGTATCCAAGATTTTATTTTAACTTGTTATGACATCCAACTTCAGTCGTCAGGGCAAATTAATCTAAGTTTTGATATAGACTTGCCCCTTCAGGCAATTTCCCCGATTATGACACCTCCAGTTCAGAAAATGGCTCTTCTGAAGATTCAGAACCTGAAACCCCTGCTGACGAGGACTCGCCACCAAGTTTCGATGCTGTTCCTGAACTTAGTTTAGCTCAACCCGATTCTCAGATAAACTCAGACGAGGTATCTAGTTTCCCCTCTTTAGAGCCTAGGTTAGAGAGAAGAAATCGTCGGTTGGATTATCGACATTTTCCTAGAAATTATGCTGTTTTGGATAAAGCTCATAGTTCTATAAGGTCTTGTACCTCACCACCTTCTCCATTAATCCTAGAAATTATGCTGTTTTGGATAAAGCTCATAGTTCTATAAGGTCTTGTACCTCACGACCTTCTCTATCCAATTCGAATGTAACCCAAACGTATCTTAACTCGTCTATTAGACGTCGAACCGTAAAACCAAAGACTTGTACACTTAGTTGTTGCGCTTGATAATGGTTATTACCAACTTTATTAAAATTACCTACCTTACTTCAGAATCTAAACATATTTCACACACATGTAACAAAAGGAAGATTTGATTTGTACTTATTTTCATTTTTTAAGTTTTCCATTCATTTATTTATGTTTTAAGAATTATTTTGAATTTTGTACTCTGTACTATCATTATTTTTAGAAGATATAACTTAATATTTTCTGTTACTTTAGTAGGGTTATTATTACTTATTTATTTTCATTTAGTTCATGTAAAATTTGTATTTTGCATTGATTTATGTAAAATTTTGTATTATTGTTTTAACCGTCATGGCAACGCTTTTTTCAAAGTGGGGGGGGTGTTATCGTATATCGATATAGCACTAAATATGCCCCTCCCTAGTTATAATTCAAATTTGGCGCCTTGCCTTGACGGGAAAAACGGAAAGGAAGTAGGACGAGCCTAGCGACTCGCTTCGAAGACGACGACGCGCCAAGAGTTTCGAGGCCGGTCGAGGTTGAAAATGGGTGTGAAATAAATAGTTTTTATTGAAACTGTTGTGTCTCTCAATAAAATTAAAACCCACGAAAAGCATTTTTCGTATACAATTGCTGACGCCGCGCCGTTTTTATTCGATCATACGGTATATATTTCCTCGCATTGTCAGAAGTTGGTATTTAGCAGATACCTACATCTAACACTACTTAATTTTGTTTATTTTTTAAATTCTCGGACAATTGTTTCAAATTTTCTTCCGTCACAAACTTTTTTCGTTATATGTATTATAAAAATTTCAAAAAAAATGGTCAAATGTTTGCAGCTGTTCTGATGCACTTACCAACAAGCAATATTTAATTTTTATTTTTATTGATTGATAATTGCAATAATACAAAGTCCACTCTTCATATCGTTATCCAAATCTTGTAAATAATATGGTATTTATACTCTGCATAAAACAAAAATACGCACATACATCGCTATATAAACATATTTGCCAATGAAAAGAAAAAATACAAGAGCACCATTTATAAAATCATGTATCTAAAACTTATTAAAATTAATTGGCTGTCATTTTATATAAAAGTTACAGGTTAAAAGTAGACTCCTTTGTTACATTCCGTGAAAACACCGCGTAAAATAGAAACAAACTTTATTACGTAAAATATACAGGGTGGCGCCTCTCATACGCCACGGAGGCTCTAAGGAGAACGACAGTTTGTATTGAAATAAAATTTTGTTAGCGTATGTAGGTTAATTTAGAGCATTTTTTAAAAATATGGACTTCTACAAGGTGTCTACAAAAAAAGTTACACATCAAAGTTGTGTTTTTTGTAATGGAACACCCTATATATTGATTTTCGGATTCTAGGAGAAAAATAAAGGTGAGTTTCATTAGAGAAGTATATGTCTATAATGTAAGGTTTTTGACATATTGATCATTTTCTAAAAATAAAGAACAAATTTTAAATTTCAATAAAAGCTATCTAAATCAGAATTTACCCGGTACCGCTAAGTATGTAGTTAAAATAACTATTGTATTTTAAATTAAGTTAAAACTTGACTCAAAAAGTTATACAGGTGGAGAAAAAATGAATATTGAACATTCGTTACATTTAAACGCAAGTTACTTTTTTATTTTAAATGGAACACCGGGAACACCCGGTATATTATTCCTATATTCAATGTGAAATTCATATCTCTTAATTCATATACTATTAAGATTTCGTACCCCTTAGACAAAGATTTTCCTAGATATTTTCATTTTTGTGATTTTGCGTCAGTAGATATTTATTATTTGATAAAATCTAGGCGGTCGTGAGATACCTTTTGTTAATTTCACAAAAAATGGATGTAGAATAAAATATTTAAATGGAATAAAAAGGTACACGCTTAAAACATATTTTAATTGTTATATAATTAAAACTAGATATAAATGTATAATTATGTAACAAAAATTAGCTAAATTAGCTAGATGAAAACTTTTCCAAATTTTCTAAAAAGAATGCTATAATATCCGGTTCTTCATGAAGGTACCAACTCAGTCGCAGCATATTAGTCAATATTAGGTAATGATGTCACATAACCCTATATGTTCTGAAATAATTTGTACTATTTGTTCCTACATAAAATCATCAAGATAATTTTGATTTTTAGCCAATTTCGACTGTTTTATTATCTATTCTGTCTCCCTTTCTTTAGTTATAACTCATCATACTGTCTCAGGGCTTTAACAAACCACAGTATCTGAGACGGTTTTCCAGAAGTTAGTTCTCCATCTCCGATATCAATACGACCAAATTTCATGGCACGAATGGTTGGCGTCTCGGCGCACACAGCCCAAGTAGCATTTTCACGACTTGCGACCATATGTTTACTAAACACAACGTTGGATTAGTTACAAAAAATAGTTAGCTCTGTACCTTGGGTATTAAAATAAATGTAAACGTTGTTGTAACGTTGTGCCGACGTTGAACTAGTACTACAACAAAGTAAAAGCTTCTGCGACGTCGAATAAACGTTGTCTTGTAACCTTTTTAAGTGATCTTTAGGTGATTCGGACAACGTAGGGTACGTTTATGTTGGAGCTGCGATAAACGATAAAAGCAGTGAATTAGCGCTGCTCTTATCGTTGCTCAACTGCCAACCGTGTCTCGATGCGTTGCTCCAATATAAACACCTACATATAAATTAATATAATAATATTCTT